GATTACTGGATTCCAAAAAAACATCTTATCCATGTTGAGATGTCCAACAGAAGAGGCTATGTGCAATGCTTTATAATGTAAATAGCCAAACACTGCCATACACAATTGTACACACAACCACTCTCATTTATATCCATGACAAAAAAATATAGCATTATAATTTCCAAGTACAATGCTTAAATAAGAAAAAAAATTAAAAATTTAAAAGTTAGACAATAAAATGAAAGTGAGATGCTACATTAGACAAACAAACATAATAAATACATTGGTATTTTTTGCATTTAACCCTTGATTGGGCTATATGCAAGAAATAATAACATACTGTTGTTTGTTTGTCTAATATGGTATCTTATTTACATTTCCATTTCTTACTTTTGTTTTTTTATATTACTTGAATTTTTTTCTTATTAAGCTATTTTACTATAAAAGTACAATGCAATAATTTTATTCACTTTTTAAAATTTGTATTTTTAGTTTTCTTCTTGTTCTTAAAACTTGTGTGTTTAAAGTATGATGCTATAATTAGGTTGCTATTTCCAAGTTATACCCAATTCTAGCGTTGTGCTTTAATTATTTTTAGAGATAATTTCAAGAAAAAAAAGCACATTGCAATAAATAGCAATGTACTTTCTATTTTAGCAAATAACCATAAAAAATAAAAGACAATATGTTGTTCTTGTAATTAATGTTATCCTAATTCTGATTGCAGCTATTCTTGAGGTGGGGGGACCAATTATTTTTTAGATGGAGGGAGCAAAGTTATAATAAAAGAGAAATTGGAGGAGATGCAATACCATGTTCTTGAAACTTCTGAGAATTTCAATTAGAGTGTCAAGAGAAGATTGTTTTACAGATAGATCCATCTAATTCTCAGCAATCTTCTTTTTCAGAATCATGACACTTGCTTCTAAATTATCCTCATAAACCATCTCCTGCAAAACTATATAAACTTTTTAAAAGAATAAGAAAGAAAACATAGAATTTATAAACTTTTTTTTTTGTGTAAACTAAATAGTAAAAATACTTTATACAAAACTCACCTATTGTTTATAAGAATCGGGATTGTGAGTTAAGCACCAAATGAACAAATGCTTCATTGAATAACTCTGAGATTCTTGCCAAAAAGCAATATTAAGAAAGTTTAGGCCCCATTTGGTAGTTGCTGACTGAGAAAGTGCTGACTGAGAAAGGTAGTAAGAAATTCGACCGAATAAGAAATCATATTGTTTGATTGTACATCTGACTGAACGTGCTGACCGGTGCAAAATGACCATTTTACCCTTGGTTCTATTTGCAACTTAACATACATTTTTTCATAACAAAATAGAAATATATATATATATATATATATATATATATACACACACACACACACAACATCCAAACATCAACCGATACAAATTCATCTTTTCTACATAAATAAAAACCGTAACTACAAAAATAATAGTAGAAACTTCATTTAGCAACGACTTATCACCACCAACAAACACACGTGTATATGAAAGAAAATTGCAATTCAAAGTGCTAAATGAATTGCTTGAGTTCATCAGGTTGGCACCAAATGTAATTCCCATTACCAAAACATCTAACCAAAAGTCCATGATTGTTTCTTTATCATGGACAACAATAAATAACACACATCGACCCCACATTGTTGCAAAGCAGCAATAACCTTAGCATTGATCTGTTGAAAGTTTTGGTCAAATTACATGTTTGTAATTATAGCGCTTTGACTGTTATTTATGTTCCATATGGTAGCGTTCCTTTGTATACTCAACAATAACCTCTAGTTAATTCCATAAAACGGGAAATACCTCCCTGTCACAAATTTTTGTTTCACAAGCAGATATAAGACAAGTATCATTTCGCAATCAATAATCAACAAAAGAACTAATTCCAAATTTGATCCCTAATCGTATAAAACTAAAAAAGGTTCGACCTTTGACATATCAGCATATTGATTAAAAAAAACAAAAACAAATAAGCCACATAAAATCAAAAGGAGGGAGGAAGATGGAGTACCTGGACGGCGCTGCTAGCTTCGGTGGAGAATGGAGGAGCAAGACGATGTGGTCGGTGCTGATGAAACAGAAGCCGGTGATGCAGAGGCCGACCAAGGGTGAAGAAGTCGCTGAAGAGAAATTTTGTTCAAGGAGGGGGAAAAGAAGTTTGATCGATTTGTTTGGAGGCGTCACTGGTGGAGGGTCGGCCAAGGGCGGCTCTGCTCGGTGAGAACGAAGGAAAGGGAGGAGAGAGGTGGGAGGATTTACAAGGAATGAGATGGGAACGGAAGGAAAATACGACCTTAGAGAAGGAGAAGGGCATGCGAGGGATAAAGAAGACAATCGGTCTCGGTCAGCTTCTTATTTTTTCCTTACTGGGTCAGATGTCCAAGGGCCGAGTAAGATATTTATTTGCCCATATCAAACAAGCGGATCTGACCGGGTCAGACAAAAACATCTGACCGGACCCAGCCAGATCAAAATCAAACAGCCCCTTAGTGTTTTGTATGATGGAATTGGGGAAAGGAATGGAATGACTGATTCCATCGGAATGAATTTTTTTTTCTCTGGTAGCAGCAAGGCAAAGTAGGATACATGACTGATAGAAGTTCCTTTTAGAAGATTGTTTTGTTATTCCCCCACCTGTTGAAAATAATAATCCGCAAGAAATTGGATTAGGGCTTTAGTGCGAGGGTAACAAAAGATTGATGGCTTGGAGGAATTTTTAGAGACGGGGAATGAGTGTTTTGATATACAGACCTTTAAAATTGAATGAAGTCGTAGTCGAATTCAAATTTGAAGTTAATTTTGCTTCTTGATTCTGCAATTTATTTGCGGTTTGTTCTTCCCATTTTCCTTTCTAGTATCGATCGTAGTGGTGGTGGTGGTGCAGTGGCGGCTAGGTTTATTGGATCAAATCAAGAACGGAAAAGGAGATGTACTTGTTTTATTGGATAAAATCAAGAAGGGAAAAATTGAAATTGAAATACGTTTTTGGTGAATTGCATATCGCCAATTCCTTCTGCAACCTAACTATAGGCCAAGATCCTCTCCGATTGAAAATCATAACATTTGTGAGGCATCTATGTTTGTGATTTTCAAACCAGAACAAAAGAGACGTGTAAATATTCTTCTCTTCACTTTTGATCCCATGGGGTTACATTTAAGGGTTTGGAGATTTGTGAGGAAAAAAGGAATAATTTATGGAAAAATCAAAAAATCAACATGCAAGTTTGGGAGATTTGCCGTTTTGAAATTTTAAATTGCAGAAAAATTAGGAATAATGAATAGACGAAATATAGGTTTCCATGTATCAATGATGATGTCAACAAATTGATCCAAAGGTGGAAGATTTATTAATGAAATACAATGTCCATATTTTTTTTCAATTTAAAATTAAAGGTTCTTTTTTAATAATATTTATATATAAAATTTTAATGTTATACTTAAATACCAATGGCAAACTCGGAGCTAACACATATATCCATTAAAACGATGTTGTTTGTGTTTGGTGTAGTTCGTCACGGAGAGATATGTATTGCCATAAAGATGATGTCATACTTACAGAAATGGTCCTTATGGGTTTGTCGAATTCACAATTTCAGTGTAACTTTGCTTACTTCTTTTTGTTCCTAACCCCCCTTCTCGTCCTCTCCGATCTCCATCTCACAGGTTTTATTTTACCCAGAGAGTTCGGAATTTTCAAACTCATTCCCACAACTCTCACCTCCTAAGATATCGGCACCTAAATAGAAGGTTGTTAGTTGTTACGAGTTACAAGGTCGACTGTTATTTTTACGTCCTCTCTCTGAAATGGAAGCAAACAATTCCTTCGTGCCTGGGGAATTTATCAAAATTGTTTCTAGAGCTTCAGAAATCAGTGAATTCGAATGGCGTTGTTTCGAAATAAGATGCTGCCCGATGGAATTGTCGATGTCTTTGAAATTGAAAGAATATACGGTAATTATTTACCTTCTATGGAGTAATTTGTTTGATATGCGTATCTAATTATGTATGTAGTACGACTACCTTTTCTGTTAAAACTTTTCTCCTTTTTTGTAATCATCACTTCACTTCTATCTAGTTTTAGATGCTACTTCTAATTTGGGAGTTTGATGCATTAGGTAGTTGAATTCCCGGACAAAAATGCATTAGGGAGTTTGATGCATTAGGTAGTTGAATTCCCGGACAAAAAATTGTATGCACTAGTTCAGCTTTACTCTTCAAACTAGTGTCGGATTATGAAATTGTGGTATTATATTGAAGTGTGATTATTTGGACAAAATTAGTAACTGAAAGTGGTCTTGTATTGGGAAACCTTCTCAAGGTCATCATCTATCCTATTATAAGGTTTTTGTCTTAAACTGATGACATTGTCTAGTAGATTAGAGGCGAGCATCATGTGTGTACAACTCGGTGTTTGTAATGTGTGTTCAATTTCTTTGTAAGTTTGAATATATTCAAGATTAGAACTTGTTTCTTTTTGATTTGATGACTCGCCCATTTGATGTATAGTCTTTGACTCCTGTTTCAGAATTAAAACTTGGGAGCAAGAAGAATACAAAGCCTACGTGTGCAACATCATAAATCAATTTCAAGAAACTTACCCTGAATCTTCAGTCATGATTGTCTATTTTCGGGAGGGAGATACAGCAAACAAGATCCACCAAATTCTATCAGAACACTTTATAACTATAATGGACTACCCCCGGGACTATAAAGGTTGCCCTGTGCTCACAATAGAGGTGATCCACCATTTTCTAAAATCAAGTGAAAGCTGGCTCTCACTTGGACAACAAAACGTTCTTCTACTGCACAGTGAACTTGGTGGTTGGCCTGTGTTGTCTTTCATGTTGGCTGCTCTTTTACTTGACAGAAAGCATTTCACTTCTGAAAGTAGGGCTCTTGAGATGGTTCTCAAACAGGCCCTATCTGAGAAGTTAGTACCCCTGATGACAGGATTGGATCCTACAGCTTCTCAGTTGAGGTACTTACAGTATGTGTCAGAGGAATGCTGATAAACAATGGCCTCCACCAGATAAACCACTTAAATTAGATTGTGTGATAATCAGAATGATTCCTGATTTTGATGGAAAAGGAGGTTGTTGCCCTGGATTTAGAATTTATGGACGCGATCCGCTGTTACACCTTGATAAAACCCGTAAACTTTTATTTTCAACCCCAAGGAGGAGTAAGAATGTCCATTCTTACAATCAGGTATGATATGTCACTATTATGTTTCTAGGTCTATGTATCTTATTCTGAAGGATTATAATTTCCATGCATTTCAGGCAGAAAATGAGCAGCTTAAAATTGACATTAATTGCAATATTGAAGGCGACATTGTGGTGGAGTGTATTAACTTAAATGATGATTTGGTTAAGGAGACGATTATGTATCGTGCCATGCTCAACACTGCATTCCTCAAATCGAATACATTGATGCTGAATCGTGACGAAGTCGATATATCTTGGGATAAAAAGGATCAATTTCCTAGCGACTTCAAAGCTGAGGTACTTTTCTTCATGTTACTCCTTGTCACAGGACATACTATTTTTTAGGATTAATGAGATTAATGGGTAACAAACCATCTGAAATCTTTTCAGTAAGTTACTTAAGTTGTGTTCAATAGATCACTAAACATCAAAAATAATTTCATTGATCCTTTTTTCTAGCTAATATCACAAAAAAAAAAAAACCTTTCATATTTCTTTTCATGCATACTACTTGTCAACTATATATATATATATATATATATATATATATATATATATATATATATATATATATATAAAAGATAAACTTCGTAATTGAATATTGTGATTATTTTTCATAAGATAACGAGTACAAGGATATATATATATACAAAACATATTTTCACTCTACACCCTCAACATATATTTACGTCTAATATTTCCCTCAAGCTAAGGCCGAGTAGCGACCTGTAGCTTGTCACGTAAGAATAGAAATCGCTGTGAGGATAGAGGTTTTGTAAATATATCTGCAATTTGATCATCTGTGGAGATATGCTGAACTGTTAGTTGTCGTCGGGCAACCTTCTCTCGCACAAAGTGAAAATCAACTTCAACATGTTTAGTACGTGCATGGAAGACAGGATTCGTGGTTAGGTACGTGGCTCCTAGATTGTCACACCATAAAATTGGAGCAGAAGGAGTAGAGACACGAAGTTCACGTAAGAGTGCTTGAAGCCATGTAAGTTCTGCAACCGTATCAGCAAGAGCTTTGTATTCAGACTCTGTGGATGACCGCGAGACAGTCTTTTGTTTTCGTGCGCACCACGAAACAAGATTAGAGCCAAGTTAGATAGCATATCCCCCGGTGGATCGGCGGTCATCCGGGCAACCAGCCCAGTCCGCATCAGAAAGAGCATTCAACGGAGTGTAAGTTGAATCTGTGTATGCATGTAAAAGTGTAGCCGACTCTTGTTTAATCAGAAGACCATAGGAGACAGTACCTTGCAAGTATCTTAGAATTTGTTTCACGGCGGACCAATGATTTTGAGTGGGAGAATGCATGAACTGGCAGACTTTGTTAACTGCAAACGTAATGTCTGGACGAGATAAAGTGACATATTGAAGAGCTCTAACGATCTGGCGATATTGTACCGGATTATCAAACTGTGGACTATCGCCAAGTGAGAGGTTTGATGTGGTGGTAAGAGGCGTTGAAACTGGATTTGCATGCGAAAGACCAGCACGTTCCAATATGTCAAGAATGTATTTCTTTTGAGACAAAATCAGATCAGGTCCTTGTTTAACAATTTCAATGCCCAAAAAATAGGATAAAAAGCCCATATCTTGAAGTGAAAAAGTCCGGCTAAGAGTCTGAATAACACGCTCAATGTCAGTAGGGCTGTTTTCCGTTAATATAATGTCATCCACATAGACAAGCATGTAAAAAAGAATGCCTCTGGAAGAGTAAATAAACAAGGATGGGTCTGTTTTGGAGGCCTAAAATCCGAGAGTATAAAGTGTCGTAGAAAGCCGATGAAGCCAGGCTCGTGGAGCCTGTTTTAAGCCATATAGGGACTTATGAAGAAGGCACACATGATCAGGTTTGGCAGAATCAACAAATCCTTCAGGTTGTCGAAGATAAACGGTTTCATGGAGATCTCCATGCAAAAATGCATTTTGAATATCAAGCTGTCGCAAGGGCCATTTTTGTGTGACCGCCAAGGATAAAATGACCCGAATGGTGGTGGCTTTAACGACCGGGCTAAAAGTTTCCTGATAATCGATACCGTGTTGTTGTCGAAACCCCTTGGCAACTAAGCGTGCTTTGTATCGTGACACTGCCCCTGTTTGGTCCCGTTTGAGTTTATACACCCATTTACAGTCAATAATATTCGAGTTCGGTGGCCGTGGTACCAATGTCCAGGTACCATTTCGTAGAAGTGTCGAGTATTTATCTAGCATGGCTTTTTGCCATTTTGGGTCCTTGTGTGCAGCTTTGAATGTGGCAGGTTCTGTTTCAGGTGTGCTGATATGGCTATGAAAGGAACGTTTAACTGTTTTGGGATTAGGGCGAAGGTTTGAGGGACGAGGACGAGGCATATCAGATTGTGTGGTTGGTGTGGGTATGGTAGATCGAGAATGGGTGTTGCGAGCATAAGTATAAATAAGGGGTGGCAGAGGTGGTGACGGTGGTGGGGGTGGGGGTGGGGGTGGTGGTGTCGGATGTTGCGGTGATGATGGTTGATGTTGTTGTGAAGGTGGAATCGCTGACTGCTGGTCAGGTGATGGTGGCGTTTCATGTGCAATTTCAGGTGATGGCAATGGATGTTGTGGTGAGGGAGGTGTGTTTGAGTAGTTCAAATCAGGTGGGATGTTGGGGTAGGATGAGACATACGGATTGGATGATGTAGGTGCAGGTGGGTTTGGAGAGGATATGGTATGGTATGGAAATGAATCTTCATGGAAACGAACATGTCGAGCAATGTATATTCGCTCAGATTGGGGATCAAAACACCGGTAACCATGATGAGATGTGCTATAGCCGAGGAAAACACACGGCATGAATCGGAAGTCCATTTTATGTTTGTTGTATGGACGGAGATGTGGGTAACAACGACAACCAAAAACCCGTAAAAAAGAGTAATCGGGGGTGTGTTTGAAGACATGCTCAAAAGGTGAGATATTGGAGTTTCTTCGAGATGGCATGCGGTTAATGAGATAGACAGCCGTATCAAACGCAAAGTGCCAAAAACGATGTGGAACATGAGATTGGGCAAGTAAGGTGAGATCGGTTACGACAACATGACGATGTCGGCGCTCAACGAGACCGTTTTGCTCACTTGTGTGTGGACATGAGAGTCTATGAGTGATGCCGAGTGTTGAGAAGAACTGGGAAAGGTTGCGAAATTCACCGCCCCAATCTGTTTGAACAAACTTTATTTTAGATTGGAATTGTCTTTCAACAGTAATCATGAATGCCTTAAAGGTGTCACAGACATCAGCTTTGGTTGCTAATGGAAATATCCACATAAAGCGAGAAAATGATCAACACATAACAGGAAATAACGGTGCCCATCAAAAGAGGTAACAGGAGCGGGGCCCCAAACATCACAAAACAATAAATCCAAAAAGTTCGAACTTTTATAAGTGGAAGATGACAAATGAAGTTTTGATGACTTTCCAATGGAACGGGAATCACAATTAAAAGAACTAAAATTATCTAGTAAAGGTAAACGGTATTTGGATAACATTGACTTCAACAACTGAGAGTGAGGATGTCCCAAGCGTTGATGCCAAGTGATGGAAGAGGCACAAGTAGTGGAGAAAGCAACTTTTGAAATTGGTTGTATCCGCGGAAGCTTGAATGAATAAAGACCGCCTTTACTTGGACCCGTGAGGAGGGTGGTGTGAGTTATCTCGTCCTTCACAGCAAAAAAGGAGGTGTGAAATTCAAAATAGATGTTATTGTCTTGACAAAATTTTTGAACAGAAAGTAGATTTTGTTTAATTTTGGGAACATGAAGGATGTTTGTAAGCGAGAAAGATTTTGTGGGAGCATAAAGTTTAGAGAAACCAATGTGGATGTAACACCCAAAAATTTTCAACAAATTGAAACTTCTAAAACATTTCGAACCATTAAAAATCATTACAAATTTGTTTTCAAAATGTATAATATCAGAGTTTTCCCAGAAACATAAACAAAACATGAGGAGCTGTACGATCACACCTTCGCCTTGCCGCGATCCCCTGATGCACCTGAAACAATAAACTGAAACTGTAAGCCCGAAAGCTTAGTGAGTTCCCCCGAAATACCCATACCCGCAACAATACACATATAATCATAACAGCATACTATGGGTCCAATCAACCATCGGGTTGGAATACCCCAGGCCCACAACCAACAGGTTGGATTGCCAACATACTATGGGTCCAATCAACCATCAGGTTGGAATACCCCAGGCCCACAACCAACAGGTTGGAATGCCTGCATACTCTGAGTCCAATCATCTTCGGGATGGAATACTCATGGCCCACAACCTACATGTTGGAATGCCCAGGTCTATTGGCCTTCGCACCAAGCAGATAAGCCTCAACCACCAAACAAACATGTGCACATATAATAGATAATCACATAACAGTCTATAGACAATACTTGATCTAACGGATCTTACCACATAGCACATAACACCATCCTATCTACCAGGATGCCAATATAACAGATCATACCACATATCATATAATATTATCCTACCCTCTAGGATACCGATCTAACAGATCATACTAGCATAACATAACCATATAATAATCTAAAGGGCCGGCCTTGGTGCCTTAGACCCTTGAGTATAGTGAGGAAAACTCACCTCGCAACGGTCGTCTAAAACTAGAAGCTCAACTCCCGGATCACCAACACGAACTCCACCACCTATCGTTACCATAAAACTCTTTTTCGTAAATCTCCAAATTACCAGAATACTCTCAGAAGTCAACTGGTCAACTCTTGGTCAAAGTCAAAATCCCCAGTCATGGTCAACAGTCCATGTTGACTCGACTCGCCGAGTGCAGACCACCGACTCGTCGAGTCCTTCCTGAACTCGAGAAGTCGTGAAATCCTTGATTAGCTCGTCGAGTTCCCTTTTAGCTCGCCGAGTTCATACGTGTCCAAGAATTGGGAGAAACCCTAGCCGACTCGCCGAGTCTTCGAACGACTCGCCGAATTCAAGGCAATCTTCAACGGACTCGTCGAGTTTGTTCATCAACTCGACGAGTTCACGACCATCTTCATATGACTCGCCGAGTTGACTATGCAACTCGCCGAGTCCTTGCAGACCTTCATCCATGCAGACACTTTTTAAGCCATGCCAACGTTCCAGATTACAGATCCAAGCCTCTAAGGCATGTTTATCACGTAAAGTTGCAAACTTTACACACATGCAAGGCCCTAAAGGCTCTAAATGACCAATCTAAGCTTCTAATGGAGCTTTACACCTTGGGAGAGTCTCATCCTTGCAAGAGCTGGAAACTTTATGGACTTAGGACTCAAAAGAGGTTCAGATCTGAAGTTTCAACTTCAGATCTAGTTCCCATACCAAAATCCCTTCATCAATAACTAAAGAAAGCCCTAGTTTTCACATATGAATGATTCTAGAAGAAAAGAGGTTAAGGTAACAGCTGGTTACCTCCAAAACGTGCCCAAACTGAAGTAGACTCTGGATCCACACAGAAATCTTGATGCTAGTCTCTTGATCTACAAATTTCCTTCACAAAAGTCACTTCCCAAAGCTCCAAAACACTCTCCAAGCTCTCACTCACGGAAATTAGGGTTTCTGGGTCTCAAGAGGGTGATAGAGGACAGTGGGAGGCGCTAATGGTCCAATATATAGGGTGCAAAACCCTGAAAATTAGGGTTTCCACTGCCAGCGCCTACTCGTCGAGTCCCCCATGTCGACTCGACGAGTCACTCATTAATTGACGTGTCCTGGCCCGCTGCTACTCGACGAGTCATAGCGCCAACTCATCGAGTAGACCTTAAACATGAAGTCTAAATGGAAAAATTAATAATACCTGACGGTTGGGATGTTACAGTGGAGGATGGGCAAACCTGTACCATTGCCAACGTGAATGTTGTCATTGCCATAATAAGTGTCATAATTTTCAAATGTAGAAATATCAGGGGTAACATGATGACTCGAACCAGTGTCAGGTAGCCAAGAACCTGTTTGTGAGCGGAAGTCTGCAAAATTCGCAGAGGGCTGCGTTTTTGGTCACATAGTTGAGGGGTCACGGTTTGGGCATTGGGACGGAACGTGACCTATGCCACACCGATTACACGTACCATAAACTGTATTTTAGTTGGAAGCCCAACTGAATTGAGATCGGTTTCCCCCTCCTTGTTGTCGGTTTCCTCTCCCACGACCAGATCTGTTATTGAAAGGGCGATCCCGATTGTTTCCCGAGCGTTGTGTGTAGTGAGCTTGTGGCGAGGATATGTTTGTCAGTGGATGAAGTTGGAAACCCAACTGTTGAGCAAGTTGCTGAACAGCATGAAGAGTTTCAGTGGGGAGAGATGACCCGGTTGTGCTAGATTTATGAGAGGGAACAGCAACCATAAAGGCTTGGGCAGGCGAGACTTCGGTGGGCATTTTTTTGATCATGAAATCATGATCCGCCAAGAGGCCATGGAGTTCTGAGAAGGCAGTAGGGAATTGTCGTGCCAGGAGCGTGGATTTAAGGCCATTGTATTCATCCCTAAGTCCTGAAATAACCAGCATGACAAGGTCTTTTTCCTTGATGGGTTCACCAATGTTTGCTAAGGCGTCAGAATATTCTTGTGCACGAGTCAAGTAGGCAGAAGAGGATTCATCACCCTTCATTGTTATCTTTAAAAGCTGTGTTTTTAAAGTTTATTCACGTGAAGAAGTATGAGGTGCATAAGCTCGTTCAAGGGACAGCCAAAGTTCACGAGATGAATTACCTTGAACATGTTGAAAAGATGCTTCAGAGATAGCAGACAAAATCAGCATCCGTACGTGGGCATCGTTGTGAACCCATGCTGCGTTTTCTGGATTGGGTTGAGATGATGACACCTGTTGGCCATCTTTGAGATGATGACACCTGTTAGCCATCTTTACCAGATGAAGTGGTGGTGACTTTGGCCATCTTTACCAGATGAAGTGGTGGTGACTGTAATTGCTGGAGGACATTCGATGGAACCATCAACATAACCGTACAAATCGTTTGTGATCAGGAAGGGTTGGATCATTGTTTTCCAATACCCATAATTTGTTGGTGATAAGGTGAATCTGAACTTGTGTGAATTGTGAGAGGTTTTCTCAGATGAAGAGAAGGGAGTAATAGGAGCCATGTGTTAATCAAAGAGAAGAGAGGGGTGAGTGTATCAACTGTCGACACAGGAGAGATAAGGCAGGGATGAGGCAGCCGTAGGGTAGATTAGGGTTAGGCTCTGATACCAAGATAAACTTGGTATAAACTTGGTAATGGAATATTGTGATTATTTTTCATAAGATAACGAGTACAAGGATATATATATACAAAACATATTTTCACTCTACACCCTCAACATATATTTTCGTCTAATAATATATATATATATATATATATATATGTGTGTGTGTACATGTAAGTATGTATGTATGTGTGTGTGTATGTATGTATGTATGTATAATGTATGTATATATATATATATATATATATATATATATATATAAGTAATTTTTGTTGGATGAAGCTTCTTTTCTCCGAAATGGACCCTGAAGCTTCTAAGATCCCAGTAGATTTGTCTAGTTTTGAAGAAGGGGGGGTCCCGGTAGAAGCATTTGGTAATGTTCAAGAAATGTTTAACAGTGTGGATTGGCATGTTCCTCCACCACCTCCTCCTCGTGGTGGTGGAGGAGGACTACAAACACCTAAACCACTAAAACCACCACCACCACCACCACCACCACATAAATCAGGTCCTTCACCACCACCAGCACCACCCCCACCCAAAGCAAACCCAGCACCACCACCACCGCGTACTCCAGTTAATAGAATCAAAGAAGCCGGTGCAGGTCCACCAACTCCACCACCACCTTTAAAAGGAGGCGGTGTAACTGCTCCATCTCCACCACCTCCTATAAATAAACCGTGTGTTTTATCAATGACATCTGCGGTGAAAACTCAACCAGCAAAAAAGCTAAAGCCGTTACGTTGGTCAAAAATAAATAGAGTAGGAAAAGGAAGCTTGTGGGCTGAAGCAGAAAAATCTGGCGAAGCTGCAAGGTGGTTTATATATATATATATATATATATATATATATATATATATATATTTGACATATTGACATTGATCCCTTACTAATTTCTTCTTGCATAATTTCTCATTAGGGCACCAGAGATTGATATGTCAGAACTTGAAACTCTCTTCTTAGCATCAAATCCGAATTCTGACAAGGCATCAAAAGCAAAGTCCAAAGCATCTAATGAACCCGAAAAAGTACAACTGGTAATAATTTATTTTCCTTGTTTATTGCATGTGAAATCTTTAACTGTACTTATGGCTGACTTCATACATCTTTGTATGGAAGATTTGTTGATATTTCACACTTGTTGCAGATTGAGCATAGCCGGGCATATTACTGTGAAATCATGCTTTCAAAGGTGAAGATACCATTGCCTCAATTGATGGTAAGCTGAAAACATTATGCAATTAATCACAAATTAGGTTTTCTGATAAATGTTTTTAATGCTTTAGTACGGTGTGAAAATTAACAGGAGCATGTCCTTAATTTGGATGAATTAGCAATGGATGTTGATCAGGTGGATAAGCTTATAAAGTTCTGTCCTACAAAGGAGGAGATGGAACTACTTAAGGTGTATTTTTATTCTACATTACATTACATACCCATATCTTTTATTCATAGTATAACTTACATTTTATATGCTTAGGGCTATAAAGGAGAACCTGAGATGTTGGGCAAATGTGAACAGGTACATAGTACCCTTTTTTTTTTTTTTTTTTTTTTTTTTTTTTTTTTTTTTAATATCATCAGTATGTCAATAAATTTGGGGACCAAAATATAAAATTTTAATATCTGATTTCTTGTAACAGTTCTTCTTAGAGCTAATGAAAGTTCCACGTTCGGAAGCGAAACTCGTTGTTTTTTCATATAAGATACAATTTAGAGAAGAGGTCAGGAGATGTTATTCTTCGACTTTCCTGCTTTCTTATGTTTACCTTATTCTAACTTTACTGTTCTTTTTAGAAATTTAGGTTTCAGAACTTAGGGATAGCATAAACATTGTATATTTATCCGTAGAACAGGCAAGTTATTAGTTATCTGTCACTTTAATTATGCAGTTATTTAGTGACAATAAGATCGGATTGAATTTTACTATTTTATATATGTTGATGGTGGTTATATCAGCTTATTAGTTCTGTATAGTTGAGGAGAGTCATGCAGACAATTCTTTCTCTTGGGAATGCTTTGAACCAGGGAACTAAAAAGAGGTGAGTTACTACTATTAGTTTTATATTATTTATTTTTGAGTAAATTACACGAATCGTCCCCGGTCCAAATGCCCAATTGTGCGTTTAGTCCCTATTTTAAAAAATTAACTTAGACCGTCTTTTATATTGTTAATATTTGCATGTTTCGTCCCTGCTGGGGATGATATGACTATAATACCTTTTCTATTTCTATTTCTTTTATTTTTTCATTTGTTTATAATTTAAAAGTTATATTTTATTAATTATGATTTCTCTAGAAAATGAAAAAGTCCCTAATTCCACCCCCACCAGCTCACCTTCCAGATACATTCTCTCACTCTCAACTTCTTCTTCTTCATCTCCGGCGAGATCGCCGGCGCCGCATCAGCCGGCTGCCACCCCTTCTCCTGCCGGAAACCACCATCACAGAACCAATATTCTTTTTTTTGTTTCCCTACATCTTTCATTCTACCTAAACAGGCTGCCACCACTTCTCCTGTCGGCGCTCCACCACCCCTACACTCCAGCAACAAAGTTTGTAGTTACAGAAGCAAGCAGATCGGAAGCCGACCCAAAAATAGGGACTAAACGTGCAATTTGACACTTGGACCAGGGACATTCGTGTAATTTACTCTTTATTTTATTTGAAGTTACATAATTATTTTTGGTTTTAGGTGCTGCGGTTGGGTTTAGATTGGACAGCCTCTTAAAACTTAATGAAACACATGCCAAGAGCAAGAAAATGACTCTCATGCATTATCTTTGTAAGGTAAGACTTTTTATTTATTTGCTTGTGTTTCTTTCACTTTGTTTATGGTACATATCTTTGCTGTATATGTTAGGTGCTTGCAGACAAACTACCTGAACTCCTAGACTTTTCCAAGGAACTTGCCAGCTTGGAGCCTGCATCAAAGGTTTTGTGAAATTCATGTACATTTATTTATTTTAATTAAAGTTGCTTTAGTTTTTTTTTCGATTAAAATGATATATTTATTTCAGATACAGATAAAAATCATGGCAGAAGAGATGCAAGCGATTACAAAAGGATTAGAGAAAGTAGTCCAAGAAAAGAAATTGTGTAAAAAAGATGGTCATGTGTCTAAAATTTTTCGGAAGGTATGCACATAAAGTTGATAAGAGCCATAAATAGAACAAGTCAAAGGAATTATAATTTGAGGGAATTGGAATAGCAAGGAATTGCAGTCTATCTATCATGAGTTGGTAGGAAATGGAATGGAATTCAATGATAAAAAATTAAAAATTGATTATATTTTGCATTTTTACTTAAAATATAGTTTTCTATATAAATATATGGAATTGGATCCGCAGAATTGTATTCCATCTATTTGGCAACCAAACATGTCATGCAATTTTATTACTTTTTCTTTTAATTTATTTTTTTTATAAAAATTTTCTTAATAAATAGTTAGATGTGATATTTATAAAATAAATAAATAAAATATGCTCAGATATTTATATGTATATTTCTTATTTTATTTTTTATAAAAAAAGTTGGGTTGGATTTGGTTGTGAATGAGAGTCTTACTTTAACTTTAACGTAAATGTTTTATTTTGGTTTACCGTGTTCAGTCTCTGAAAAAGTTTCTTGCTTCTGCGGAACCTGAAGTGAAGTCCCTGGAGGCCTCACTTTTCTCAAAGTTGGTAGGTATAAAAAAATCCTGTAAATATAAATATTGCTACAAGTATCCCAGTTTTTAACATTGCACTTTACACAGGGTAAAAGTGTGGATGCTTTAATTATTTACTTTGGAGAAGACCCTAAAAATTGCCGGTATGAAACAGGTAATCAATCATCAGAACAATTTACGTTCATGATCAAATATTCATTTGTTACAAATTGATTTCCAGTTTTTAAGTTGTGATATTGTTTTCAGTTGTTGACACTTTGCTTAAGTTTGTGAGAATGTTTAATCAAGCCCATGATGAAAACTGCAAGCAAATAGAGGCGGAGAAGGTTGCAGAAAAGAAGGCGGCACAGAAAGCAGCCGAACAAGAAATATTAAAGGCAGATGAAAAAAAAAAGTCAAAAGTACAAAATCATTCGAAAATGGAGTCAGAATCAATAAGAAATAAAACTGCTATAGAAAGTGCCGAATACTTTTTTTGCTTTTTCCCTTTCTATATAATTAAAAACTGGTGGAAAAATAGAAGCGGCTTTCTGGTTGCAGCTGCTGGTGTGTGTGTTCCAGCCTTCTTGGATGAAAAAAATGGTAATGATCTGTTGATTGATGAAGAAGAAGAGTTTGCATGGTGAATTTCTGCAGTGTGAAGTTTTTTGTTGCAACTGATAGTGCTGGAGGATCACCAGAGTGAAGGTTAGTCATGATTATCAAACTTCTATCAAGAATTTGAGAAGATTTTATTTCGATTTTTTTCCATTTAATTTTATGATGAATTTGACGTATTAGTGCTGCAACTGACAGGAAGACGTAAATTTTTTTGTAATAATTTAGTGTGATAGCATCCTAGCTAGGTCTCACTGATTTTGCGGAAAACTGCAGTTAAATCTCTTAGATTTTGTAGTTCTTTTATGGAACATGAGATTTCGGATTAATAATGACCACCACTGACATTTTTAGAAATTTGAGTCATTTCATTTTGCACGCATTGGGTTAATCTATGAATCAGAGGCACATGTGTTAGTTTATACACGTTATGTTAGTTTATACACATGATGATTGATGTAACATCTGACGCACACACGCATCAAGATATTTCTGCTTTAGGCTACCAGGCGCAGAAGGACTTCCACCCTCGGCCATGGGATTGTTTACATCTAACAAGCTTAATTATAAAGTTTTTTTTTATGTGATCGATTGCCTCTTGCTTTTAAAATGTGTCTTTGTAGGAGATGTATCCACAACATTATAAGGAATGCTTGTCTCCCCACTTTAGCCGATGTGGAAATGGTTTTACACTCTCATCCACCCCCATACATAATCCAACATTCTCGCTAACACACTTAATGATACCGATTTTGTAACATTCTATGCTTTTGCTTTAAAGTAGCAACTTTTAGAAAGTTTTTAGTATCATCAATATACATGTTAACCATGTACATTGTCAAATAGTTGCGATTGTGAAAAAGAGTGATTGTTGAAAAAGTAATAAAAGTATAAACTATCATGTTAATATCAGACAAATAGAACTTAAATATGATATAAGTTTTAATGTCTTATATGCATGTATTAAGATATTGTCCGTTTTTGGCTACTCGCCATGAGGACTTCCTAGGGTTCAATACATCTAGCACTACTCTCACCTCATGAGCGTGATTAATTGTTGAATTCTTATGGGATCCGTTGTCAACATTATGTTAGCTAAATTGTGGCAAAGCTTTGACTAAGACTGTCTTTTTTCTTTTCTTTTTTGCCACGTTGTGGATGCCAATACATTTATATTCGATTACCGCATCCCCTTATGAGACATAAAGATCTTGAGGACTTGATGATTGAATATTATAAGCAATTGTACACATATTTATTAGTCGTATTCATATGTATGTAAGTATGTTGAAGTACATAATGAAATTAGCCTTAGTTATAACTAGTATTCTAAAAAAATGTGAAATCTTGGTTATTTTGGTTTTGAATGTGCAAAGGTTTCTTATCCTTTTATTGTTAGACTTCTAATATTATAGATTTCCTAACTTGGGTGAGTTTAGCATATAGTCTAAGTTGAGGGATCATTTGGGTACAAGTGGGATAATTATGAGTGTCTTAAGCCTATAGGGTTTAGTCTCTCATTTCGGAGAATAAAAGAAGGAAGTCTCTATTTATAAATCCAATCTTGAATTTGAGGTGTTATGATTGTTTATTGTTGATATCGTACACCAATTTCATTCAAGCTGCCATCTCAACCATCTAATTAAGGTATCCGTCTTTTACTTTTGCAGTTATGATTTGAAGGTTTGAGCTCCATCAGAGGATCACCCTGATTTATCTGCCTAATTCGAAATTGATGGACTATCTGATAACCGGTGGTGTTTAGATACGGATTCTACTGTTTCGTATCCATTCTATCGAAGAAACCCTTGGCAAAATGGTTATTTATATGATTTAAGAGCTTAGATTAATGAATATGATGCTTATCAACTAATCTATTAATTAATCTTAAAAGGCATGTTAACAAGAATGAATTTATATGTTTGAACAACGATTTGAACTCTATGAATCCACTCTAGGTCATTAATAATCGTCATACAAGTTTTAGAATAAAGTTGGTAGAAACAAACAGAAACCAGCAAGACAACTTTTTAGTTTGACAAAACTGCAAGAATGGTCCCTATAATATGTTAAAAATTTCCACTTTGGTCCAAAAAAGTTTGGACTAGCACCAGAGGTCCAAACTTTTCATTTTGTTGCGAGTTTGGTCCAATTTGCTTTGAACTTTTTTATAATGATGATTTTGCCCTTAGCTTTTGCTTTTTTAGTTTTTATTTATTTATTTAAATAGTTTTATGATTAAAAGAAATTAAAAAAGAAAAATAAAATAATTTCTCTCTCTCACACACACACACTCTCTCTCTCTCTCATCGTCTTCTTCATCCTACCTTTTTCCTTTAACTCAAACCACAAACACTTTTCACATATAGATACACACTGGGGATCGATACATATAATCAAACACACATACTCTCTAAAAATAAAAAAACAAAGAATCAATCAGAAGTACAAAAATTTAGAACCACAAACTTTGTTAACCCCTTTCTTCTCTTATATCATCTGTGTGTTTGCTTTCCCTCCTTCCATCTTCCATCCGGTCAATCGCAGTTAACCCTTTTCCTATCTTAGATCGATCATATCTCTCAAGGATCCTCGTATTTCCTTTAATTAAGGTACAGATGTGTAAATTATAGCCAGAATGTGCCGGTGGTTCCAATTCACGTCAAAAATCAGAAATCAAACAAGCACTCGTTCATGATGAAATCATAGATATATCCATACCTGATTAAATCAATGGAGGAAATTGCCTAGCCTTCTTCTCCACCACGACACCACCAGAAACCTCAATTGGGAGCACCCGATTAAATTCCCAAAAAAAATGGAACCATCATTACGTCTGGTAATTAGGTTTCTAGTGACGACTTAGGTACACACACACATAGAGAGAGAGAGAGAGAGAGAGAGAGAGAAATCCAGCACCATCGGAGTTCACCAGATCTAGGGCCATTGGAGTTCACCGGATCTAGGGTTTGTTCCGCACCGGAGCTAGGGTTTGCTAGAGTTTGTATAGGCGGTGGCGGCTTCGTCTATCTCCAACAACGATATCCAGAACCATCGGACTTCGTATCATCCTAATGGAGACGATGATGAAGTTTGTGGCCTGATCTCCGTTTGTGACGGGGGCCAATATCGGAGGAGAGGGATAGTCGATTTTTCAAGATCTGATCGTCTCCATAGATCCAGTAGTCGATTTCTTCTTGAAGCGGTATGTGCAAATGATGGTTGAAGGCAGATGTTTCTTGAATAAATGGTGGCCGAAGGAGGAAGCGGCTCAAGGAGGAGGCGACGATTTGTTAGAGGCAAAAGGATGTTTCTTGAAACCCTACGTAGAGAAAGAGAGAGAGGGGGTTAGGGTATTTTATTTTTGTAGAATTTTTAATTGTTTTTAATTAATGTAATAAAAGAAAATTAAAAAATAAAATAAAAAGGGGCAAATCCGTCATTATAAAATGTTTCAAAATTTTTGGACTAAACTGGCAACAAAATGAAAAGTTTGGACCACTGGTGCTAGTCTAAACTTTTTTGGACCAAAGTGGCAATTTTCAGCTAACCACAGAGACCATTTGTGCAGTTTAGTCTTTTAGTTTTTACAAGATTTTGTTGCCCATGACCCATTAAACGGTCATGTAAGCTGATGAGCTAGCTTTGACAGTAGAAAACTATTATCGTTGTGGATGCCGACACATTTCTAGTAGTGTTATAAGTTGACCACATCACCTAATAAATATCATCATGTGGAGTACCAGACACATTTCATTGTTTCAAAAACATATGCATTTTTTCTTTCATTTGCTCTTGTAGTTGTCGTATGTTCGAAATTCCTTACACAACCTTATAACCTAAAAAATGGTAAGAAATTCAATGACAAAACCATAATAGCAATGTAGTTTAGTTTAATATAAGAACATAATAGCGATTTACTTTAGTGTATTATAAGGACATAATACTAATGTATTTTAGTTTATTATAGAAATATACTTTACTTTATAATTTTAGCAATATAGTTAACTCGCTAGTACAAAACTGGGTTTTGTCCATGCAAAAAACCCATCGATATAGACATTTTATGTCGCTTTTTTTTCATTCAATGTGTAAGGAAAGGTCTCTTCATTAATGAAAAAGTTATGGGTGTATGGTCATAACGGGTCCCTTGTATGACACATGTCGTTAATTGTGGTTAGTATAACTCATGAAAACCCGTTGTTATAGGCCAAACCCGTCATTGTATGGTAAGGTGTTTTTGGACATGTATTTATCTTATTTTGATAACCATCATTAAAAACATTTATAGTCACTTTTAACGTCATTGTATGGTAAGGAGTTTTTGGACATGCATTTATCTTATTTTGATAACTGTCATTAATAATACATTTATAGTCACTTTTAATTTATTTTATATGACTATTGTGCACATTTACTCACTCACAGGCAATTAAACGATAACCATAAAATAGTTATAGTTATGTTTTATTTCTTTTATTATGACTATTGTACTGACATGTTTAGTATTATATCGTGATTATTGTGTACATTTAGTCACTCACAAGCAATTAAACTGTAACGTCCTAAAATTTTTAACTTTTTAAAACAACATAGGTTTAACTAAAAATCATAAATTTTATTAAAGAAAGTTTCAAAACCATCCCCCCAAGATCAAAGTAATACAAAAAGACCGATTGTAAATTTATAACTTTTAAAATCAAAAGAAAACATAATCCAATGTATTATGAAAATCTTTATCCCTTTGACTCGAGCCATTGTGTACCATCACGCTCTTCCATGTTGATCCTAAAACAGTAATTTTAAGCACAAAGCTTAATGAATTTCACACATACACAATATAATCTCATACAAGCTTTACCCCTAACATACATGCCTTAACCACAATAACTACATAACCACACATGTAACTTAAAGAACAAATCAAAAACAACAATAAACCCATTGGGGCACATCGGCTAAGCTCGGCCCCCTTTGCTCAGTGTGTCAAGACCTTAGGACACGTCGGTTAAGCCAATCCCCCGTACCTAATCCCATTGGGACACATCAGCTACGTCCGATCCCCCTTGCTTAGTGCGTCGAGCCCTTGGGATACATTGGCTACGCCTGATCCCCCACTCAGTATGTCGATCCCTTCTATACGTATTCATCGGTATTTTGAGTGAATACCACACACCCACTACACACTAACCCAACCTAGTATGACTCACATATGCATCCTACAATCACACACGAGCTAAAGTAAATTGAAGGATGCACAACATCACACAATGTAGTGAGAAACTCACATTGACTTGCAGAGTAGACTTCAAATACTATCCTGTGAATCCAATTGCACCAAGTCACTTTGAAACACTCCTATAATAGTAATCAAGATTAAAAAATGGCTATTCTTAACTCTAAACATATAGAAAAACCACTAGACTTATTTTCTAGATTTTGATCTGAAACAACATTTGGTTTCAAGATAACTTTAACACCACCAACGCCTGCCAAAGTCACCGGTTCTTGTAAACCTAGGCATAAACAATAAAATAACAATAACAATTTCCCCGGAATTGGAGCCAAAACTTGGTGGGATGCCAAGTCCACCAAGAAAATTACACCCTTTTGCTTATAATATAATAGTAAAAAGGCGATTGATCCATGGGGAAATGGTTGTATTCAATCACCAGTGCAATTCAATTGAGCAAGTGAAATTAAACTAACTAATTACAATTAAACTAAATGGGGGGTTTTGTGAAATGTTTGAAAACTACAATACTTGAATAACTAAAAGCTTGCAATTAAGCAAGATGGTGAGATGCTCAAATATTAGAGAAAATTGGTCAACCAAGGCAATTGAACACCATGAATATTTGTTTGTCTATGATTAGTATTCAATATGTAAGTTTATCATTCATCCCAAATAGGTTAAAGTAATCATGAAGCATGATATGCCAAAATTCCTCAAAGGTAGTATGGAGATTGGGGAAGCCCACAACACACCCTCTTAATCATAATCAAGAACCCAATTGAAGCAATTAAACTCAAGATAATTGATTAGCCTTAAGAATGAAATAATTCCTAATTCCTGGAGGATGTCAATGTTTACACGTCCATAAAGGAGTCATGATCCATAAGCTAGAGATGATTTCTACCATCATAAAGCCCTTGTTTTAAGCCAATTCATTTATTCAATGCTAAACCAAAGAAAAAAAAACTAACAATTGCTCATCAAGTACCACGCTCATGTTCAAAGTATTAAACAAGCATAAGAATTATGAACTAGAATCATAAACATGAGATAAATGATAACCATAACATGAATCCTTCAAAACTCACAAATATCCATGGGTTTTATGTAACATCCCAAAATTTGAGGCCAAAAAAAATGTTTTAAATTAAGTAAATCATCATTTAGGTTACCAAACATTGTCACTATTTCATCATTCATAAAATCATAAAATCATGTCTCGAAAACCATATCATCAGGAACAATGAAAATTAGAGTACAATCCCAGAAAATCCGATGCGGAAACCATGTGTGTGATGCGCTGCTACGCTGCCGACTCTTTCCCCTTGGACGAAGAGGTACCTGAAACCAAAACTGAAACTGTAAGCACAAAGCTTAGTGAGTTCCCCCATCATACCACATACCACATAACATCGTCGGTATCTTTCAACCGGTAACTGCCATCGGTATCTTTCAACCGGTAACCATCATCGGTATCTTTCAACCGGTACACGTCATCGGTATCTTTCAACCAATAATTGAGGACTATTTCACCCCTAGCACTAGCATACCGTAACGAGAGGTAATCATACAGTCAGGCATAACTGGGTAGGGACAACTAATCCCTTCTACACACATAGCATATCACACAGGCATATCCCATAACCATAACACATTAACATACAAAGATAA